GGAAGGAAGGAAGGAAGGAAGGAAGGAAGGAAGGAAGGAAGGAAGGAGTGAGCACGGCACCATCTCATCATACATACTTGAACGATATCCTCTTGATGTTTGCCTTCACTTCCTGTCGGGTTGAAAAGGAGTCCAGGGGGAATTCCAGATGAGGAGTGGAACCAAACTGCACGGCTCCCACTCTGACCTGGAGGAGGAGACAGGGCCAGAGGCCCCAGAGGTTTCAAATCATGAACATTCCAAAGAAGAAAGACTGATGCCTGGCTCTTGGCCACTCAAGAAATCCTGTGGGGGAGCTCTGGCCAGCCTCCCTAGAAACACGGTTCTGCAGCCCAGCTGGAGAATCTGGGAGGGCATGGCCAAATATGTCTGTGCTCTGCTGTGACAGAGTAATTGCCCCTTCGGCCAGCACCCACCTGGCGGCTATCCCGGCTGCGGTGCAAGCAGCTTTAGGCAAGGTTCTGCTCACATCTGCCAAAGGCTCCCCGGCTTATGTGCTGCTGTGTGCAGATGCATGCGTGACATCATCTGATCCAGTCACTGCCCAAGTGACTGAAGACAACACTACTGTGTATTGATGACTCTGTGCAAGGCTCGCTTGCCCAGGACAAGCAAGGAAAGGAAGCCTGGGCCTTTGGACTTCCAGCATCTAGACTTCTCCAAAGCACTATTATACTGCTTGCCTCCTCAGGGGTGAATATGCTTTCAAATCCAGCCGAAGGTTCCATAGAGGCCACTGCTGAACCTAACCACAGCCACCAAGCCCCTGCTCCTTGCTGACGACCCACTCCTGCCAAGCCAGGTAAACACCAAGTCTCTAGACCAGAGACAGACTTGGGAAGAGTCACCTCCCAAAACAGAAACAAGCAATAGTGGAGCTGAAGGTTCTCTGCGATCTCTGTGTGTGTGTGTGTGTGTATGTGACTGATTGTGCTTCCTAACTGAGGAGGCCACAGGAGAAAATCCGACACATGCCTTGCAAGACTGGAGCTTGGACGCTGAGCATCGGAGTGATGTGCCCAACCAGCATCTAATCCTCTGTTCTCCAAACCCACAGGCACCACATGCCCGGGAGCTTTGCTTGTACTAAGCCCAACTCTGGGAAGGACTTCAAAAGGGCAAAGACACTACATGCCTCCCCAATGCAATCCCTTGGCAGGCCCAGTGCTAAGACAATGGGTTGATGCCCTTGCTCACCCAGCTGGCCTCCCCCAGACAGGAAGCTGTTGGTAGCTAAAAGCAGAAAGACAGTAAGTCTTGGGTGGCCATGTGAGGAGATGGGCACTTCAAGTCAGAGCCGTGGGGAGACTGGAGAAGCTTAACAAAAGAAGGCAGCCTGACGCGGCTTTCCTGGGTCACAGCATGAAACAGAGAGCAATGGCAGCCAGTGAGTGACAAGACTGTCTGCTCAGCACGGGTACTGGGACAGCTGGAAAGGTGCCACCATGAACTCAAGGAGACACTGCAAATGCATTCAAGCTTCCGGGGTAAGCTCTTGGGAGAATCCCCTTGTTTGCTGGGAACCAAACCAAATCTTTCACATTTTAAAAATTGTCTGATAAATCTGAGCACTTGGAACAAACTTGCACACAGTCACAGGTAAAGACAAAACAGAAAGATAATTCATAGCTCATGAAGGCCAGGGTTAGTTTCTCCAAGTGTAAAAGAACAACAATCCAGCAGAAAACAGGCTAAAGACACAAAGATCAAAAAGGGAAAAACAAATGGTTTCTTAATGGCAGGACATTTGGCCCTGGGGAAACAATACCATTTCCCTATCAGCTTAGTAAAAAAAAGGAAGGAGCATTGGCAGCCATTCGGGTAGGAAGGTAAAATGGACTTGCCTCTACAGAGGGCAACGTGCCAGTATGTACTATCAGCTAAAACTTGTAGGCTTTTGGAGATTCTCCTACAGACAGTCTTTCACATGAATGAAATAAGTTGTTCATAAGATCAGTGTATTTATAATAGTCCATCGATAGGGGCTGGCTAATTAGTCCTGGTAAACCCTCAAGGTAGGCTGATATATCTGTAATATCAATATATCAATATATCAATATCAATATATCTGTAATATCAATATACTATACACACAGAGAGAGGATGAGATTTCCAAGATAATATGATAAAAAAGACAGGAGAGAGGGAGGGAAGGAGGAAGGTAAGGAAGGAGGGAGAGAGGGAGGAAGGGAGGGAGGGAGGTGTAGACTGCTAACTTTTCTAGAAAAGGAGAGAACGGAAGTACATCTTTATGTTGCCTCATGGGCAGAGTGGGCCTGCGAGGCCAGGTGGGGGGGGCTACTACAACAGGTGGGGGATTGGTGCCCAGTCACAGGGGCGGGGCGGGTGGGTCCTGGGTGGATATCTGGTGGGTGGGAAATGTGTGGGTGCAGATTTTCCTCTCTGTCTCTCTCTCTCTCCTTTTTAGTGAACCATGTAAGGAACTATTTGGTCACACAGGTGGGAGGAACTCCCCACAGCCGGGCATCTGGGTCCCCTCGCTCAGGCTTACCAGGAAGGACACAGTTTCAAATAAAAGCCCGGGAAACAGCCCCAGTCGGCACTTAAGGCATTTCACTTAATTGGAGGTTTGGGGGGAAAACTGCTGCCCTTCATCTTCAGTTTACTGTGCGCAGGGGCAAACCAGGTTTCTCTCCACACCCTAGTCCCAGGGCTGTTGAAGCAGGAAGTGGGTGTTTGGGTTTGTAAGTGTCGGGGAGACTTGAAACACTTCAACTCTGTAAGGCTCTCAACTTAAAGCTCCTTGCGAATGTCTCCCCTCCCCCAACATAAGGTTCCCTGGGGAAGCCTTTCTGCTGTGGTCTGTGTGAGTCTGGCTCACCCCAGCAGACACCATTTTCTCCGGAGCTCAAGGCTTTTGTGTGTGTGTGTGTGTGTGTGTGTGTGTGTGTGTGTGTGTGTGTGT